ATAGATTCTCCATCGGGGGACAACAAATGTTAAACTGATTTTTGGAAATCGACGGAGTGTTTTAGGGGCTTGCTCCACCTCCATCACGGGTTGTTCCGGTATTGCAGTACCATCGGGAATTCAGCCCAAATTATTAAATAAATAACAAGTATTTTAGATATAATAAGGACATTTATGTTGCTGCAATTTAGGCTTTCAATTTTGCCCAGAAATATATGATCCTGAGCATAGAGCATTTCATTCTGCTTCAAAAGGATCCTGCACCAATAAATGTATGGAAATATAAATTATAATACAACACTTGTAAATATTTTAAAATGTGCCAACTCTCATCTAAAAATGGTCCAGATCGGACCACAACTTTCCACGCCTTCTCGATATCCTAATCAATATCCTTTTCAATAAGAAATAAACCCCATATAATTTAATTGTATGACCAAAAACGTAGCTTTATTATAAAGACAAGGGTTTGCCATTATGTTTTAAAAATAATTTGGCAATGATCGCGCGACTATTCAGTCCTATTTTGCAACAACAACTCGCCGAATATTCTCTTCAAAGGTGTCAATCCTATCGGGCTTATCAACGCAGACAAGCGATTTGACATAACCCAACCAAAATAGTCCAACGGTTTTAAATCGCATGATCTTGGAGGCCACGCCACAGGCTCACGACGCGAAATAATGCGCTCAACCCAAAATTTCTTTCAATAAATTGATTTTTTCGTTGGCTGGTTTGTTTATTAAACCAAGTGTAAACTTCAATTTTGAACAGAATTTCCTTGTGAAAAACGAAATCGGTGACCATCTCGTTTTGGTAATATACTTATATATAATATAATATAATATAATATATTAGCATAGTATAATTTGGAAACGTTGTTTCGGAGTAAGTCTGTTCGGTATGAAACTGAGTATAAACCAATTAACAGCTGTTAACAAGATTAACTTTTTAAAAAGTATTGCCTCATTGAAAACCATATGTCTAAAATAATACTCGTTATATATGCATCTATTTAATATATTATATTAAGTTTCGAACTCTTGGTTGGCTTAAACCAATGAACGTATTGTTTTGGAAATACCTTAGTTTGTTGCTGAAAGGGAATAAAACCATTCACTGAACTACCCCAGCTCCAATACAAGTATATATATTATAATGAGTTTTGTTATTCTAGTTATCTCTTATCAATATTTCCTGACACATTCTTTAGCTTGTTGCTAAAAATAAATTAAATTAATCCATCCTTTCCATAGCCCTATTATAATGACTATTGTTGTTTCTGTTGCTTCTCTACTGTCCTTGAAAGTACCTTTAAGATATGTTTCCAAATATAGTTTACCATAAATTCTTCTCGCTGAGGATATATCATATTCTGTTGATTTAGTTTATTTTCTACTTAAAATCTTTCAAATTTTATGTGAAGAGTATTCAAAATGTAAACAAGAACGCTCTTTTCATGAGGCCATTGACCTATCGATTTAAAATTTAAAGAAGAAGTAATAAACCGTTAACATTATTGCTATTAGCAATAACACTAAATGAGAGTAATTATTTTTAATGACTAATTGTAATTGCTTGCAATGTGCAACATGCGGCACGAGTTTCGCATTAAATAAATACGTTAAAGCAAAGAAATGGTACTAATAATTTTGTCAAATACGTTTAATAGAAATTTATGACATTTCCAACACCAGCCAATTGCAGTCTGGAAATTCCTAACAACAAAAAACAAGTAAGTTTTAAAGAGTTCAAGGTTAATACCATAGTTTAGTGCGAATAACGGCGAATAACGATTGTGGCACTGGCTGACTGACTCGATAGTGAAAATTTAGTTTATTTTTTTTTTTTTTGTTAGCCGAAAAAATGCTTCGCAGCAGGTTACATGGTCAAAGCCACCCAAAAATTGTTTACATTCCGAAATGCCACAGAAAAGTAGCCAAAAAATAGAAAAGAAAGTGCTTGCGGCTTATTTTTTGTGGACGACTCGTGGCCTTATGCTGGGAAAGCAAAATTGCCGAAAATGCAGCAGGACACGCGACGCGTCACTACAAATTAAATTTCAAGGTGATCAATGTGAAAGAGCGCCGGAAGTATTAAATTTATGTCAACTGCAAACAAATCCAATCAAAGTCAGCAAAATGAACTTGTGGAACGTGAGATAGAAAAGTAGGTTGTGGGTAAAACTGCAATGCTTTCTATGAATTGTTGCTTACATTCGGGTGAAAAGAGTAAATTTTGTGGTGGAAAGTTTATAAAGATTTAAAACATAAAAAAACTCATAAAATCTTTTGAACGCAATTATTGATATTAAATTTTCAACTAAATAGTTTTTAATTATATAGCCTTTAAGACAGAACCGTAAAATCTCAGTTATAAATAATTTCGTAGAATAAGGTTTTTAGTCTTTTAATTTTTTAAAGATCTTTTCAAAAAAATTGACTGCATGTTGCTTTTGAATCTTGAAAAATGCTGTAGTTGCTTAGAAAGATTCATTATATACTGAACAAGATATAATAAGTTTGCCACTAAGTTTGTAACACTTAAAAGGAAACGGCGGAGAACCTACAAAATATATATAATATATAACTGATTAGCGTGACGAGCTGAGTTGATTCAGTCGTGTCTGTCTGTATATATGGAACTAGTCCCTCAGTTTGTAGATATCGACCAGAAAATTTGCATGCATATTTTTCTTACGAAGAAGCTGCTCACTTGTCCGAATCGCCGATATCGGGCCACTATAGTGTATATCTGCCATAAAAACTATACGATCGGAATCATGTGTTTGTATGGAAAACTCTTTTATTTGACGAGGTATCTTCACGAAATTTAACATGTATTATTGTCTAAGGCAATAATGCAATCTCCGACGAAATTGTTCTGATCCAGCCACTATAGTATAGCCTTACAAACTGACCAATCACAGTTTTTGTAAGGAGTTTTGTATTTGTGAAGAGTAGTATACATTCGGTAAGCTACATTAGGTCGAACTGTGTCGTATAGCGACCGACTAGTTGGAATTTCTGCTTACAAACTGCTCGAAACATGCTTTTGAAGAAAATATTTAAAAAAATCATTTCTTAATAAGACTCCGAAGGATATACACGTCTGTACCTCAATATGGAGAATATTGCGTTTACAATTCGATATGTATGCACTTAAAGCAATGAAACTCGGGCATGCCACTTCCTATGTATTTACGAATATAAATCTAAGTCTCAACTATGTCGAGCCCATCCCATGAACTCATATTCATTTTTGTTTACGTTCTCTCCATCTCACTCACTCTCACGAGAGCTCGTTAAATGCTTATTTATTTCATTCATTTATTCCATAATTTCAACTTAAAAGTGGTATGAAATAAAATTGCATATGTGCAACTGTGTGTGTGTATACGCGTATTAATCTTCGACTTACTAGAGCTTAATTTTGAGATTGATTGCCACTCCGCCACAACGCTTGCAGCTAAGCGCTTACACGCCCACTTTTACCACCATTTCTTTTCTTCTGCGAATTTGGTAAACAAATGTTTGTATTGTTGTTTTGTATATATAATATATTTTCATTTAAACGGAAAGACGTTGTTTTCACACCCAGTACACACCCATATCTAGACACTTTAGAGCGTTTTGGCTTTGCAGATAATTCAAAATACATAATAAAGATGCACACAGCTGCTTTACTCTCACATAAATATACGGAAAATATGCGTTTTTCATTCATTCACATTTTTGTTATGAGTGTGAATTGAAAGGACTTTGTTGAAAGAGAAAGTGCTGCCTTTAGCAGGTTGAAAGATTAAAATTTGAGTGGAAACTTCTTACGCTTGCGCCACATTTTTAGTGAAAATGTTTTGAGTGAGACTCAATGACACTCAAAGTGGGATTAGCATGGAGTTCTTTTTGGTAAGAGGAACAGTTTTATTCTTTTTACCATAACTTATCAGCTGAAAGGTTTATCGAATAAAGCATTAAGGTAACTTTTATTTATTTCGATTAAAAAGGCTTTAAGCTTAGCTTTTTGGTGATTCTACACAGAATTTGGTTCTAACTAGAACTATACTGTTATCATACCAGGCAGTGAGTCGGTTTGACGTAGTTGGAGCATCGCTGGATCATGTGTGGTAAGCTAAAAAGAGACAACGCTAACTAAAAAATCGAAATATTTTCAAAATTTTCGTCGTAGTTTTGTAAGCATAGACTTAACGGACCGTCCTCGTATGTTTTCAAAATGTTTGCGACAGATGTGAAAATTATACAAAAGTCTTTTGAAGGCTAGGTCTAACCCTTTTGCTTGGTGGTATAGAAATGAATCAATGCTGCCGTCAGTTCAATGACCAGTCACCTTACTAAAGGTGAAGACTCATTAAACTCTTCCGATCCACTTTGGGTCAAAAGGATAATGCGACAGCACAAAGAATAATGATAGCCCAGCACTGGCTAAGCATCGCGAAGCTCAGCTGTCCAGTGGTAGAACACATGAAGAAAGCGGTTCTCCGATCTGTTCTCACTCTATTTATAATGGGCACCTTTATCTTTCCAGCTTGTCAGCTTTGCTGTTGTCTTCGATTCAGCTATGGCCTGGCCATAAAGTGGCTCGATGCCGTTGATGGCGAGGTTAAGCATTCCTTAACTGCTCGAACGCATATCGCTAACATTTTGTGCGAGGACTAAGCTATAGGGGCAAAAATTAAGTAATTATGGAGAAATGTATGCAACTATAAATATTTTGTCCGTCTGCTCTTCACATAACGTTTCGAAAAGGTAAAGTCGGATGAATAGCTGAGAATTTTTTATATTTCTTAGAGCATTCTTAAAAATAGGATATTGATCAATCTACACGAAAATATAAAGGTTTCTGAATGATTTTCTAAAAGGTTTGCTTACTAGAATTTCTATGCTTTTGTGCTTCCAGCTCAATTAAAATGGCTCATACTCATTTACACTCTTCCTCCTTCCACTCAATCAATGCCGTTCGTGTGCACTTGCACTCAAGTCCTTCGTTCGTGTGCTGGCCGTGCGGATGTCTGCCTACAAGTCTGCTATGTTGACCATAAAAAATTCAGTTCGTCTTACTCAGCTCAGCTTGCTTGAACGTCGTTTTCCAACTTTGCTTTAAATTCGTTGCAAACTTTCACATTTCAAACATTTCACTTTCAAACGGCAAAACAACAACACCGAGCAGCGACCAAGTACAGCAGCAAAAAAGCGAAAAAGAAAGAAATACAACAAATAAATGAAGTGAAACGAAAATTTAAAAAAATATAAAAACAAAATGGCTTGCAGCATAATTTAAAGCAACAAAAGTGCAAGAAAAAATTAATAAAGTCACTTTTGATTTCTTTGTGCAGGTGTGCGCCTTTGTGTGTGTGTGCGTAAAAATACTACACGCTGCTGGCTGCAAGCTGCTGTTAACCAGTTGTTGTAGCTATATTCTTTTTGTTGTTGGCGCTACTGCTTTGACGCGCCAGCAGTGGAAGGCAGCGCAAAGGACTTCGGTGTACAAGTACTGCCGATAGCAGTAGCGGCTGTAACAGCAGCAGAAGAACGCACGGAAAACGGTGCAAACGGTGAAAGTGGAAACGTGCGCGTCGCGTGTGGTGATATAACAACGGTATAAAGTTTTTCCTCCACACATTTTGTTGCGTGTGGCCTGTTTGTTGTAGTTGTTAACTTGTGATTTTTTTTAGAACCGCTATGCGGTGCGATAAAGCACATTTGCCGTTATTTGAATAAGCACATTAAATAAATGAAAGAATTATGTTCAACGCTCGATCGTTATATGTAAAACTCTCACGTTGAGAATAAAAGCGTAAAAAATTAAGGTAAGTACACTTACACACGAGTATATATATTGTGTTACCGTTGTATTCAAATATTTCGACAAATATTTAAGTTAGCAATGAATTGCGGCTAATTAGTGTTGCCTTGCATAGCTTAAGACGTTCGCGACCTTTAAATGCCGGGCATTGTGTAGCGTGTTTGTGGCAAAAAGCCATGTGAGCGAAAGTCAAAGGACACTTAAACAAATTGAGTTTAATATTTGTAAAAACTTGCAAGTTTACAGACATTCGATAGATATATATAATATATACACTATCTTTGGTAAAATAGAAAGCTAAGGATGCGTGAGCGGTTAGTGCATATGTAGTATATATAAAGCATGCATATAAATCGAAAAAACTATTTGTGAGTGTAATTGAGAGATATTTTAAAGTCTCTTAGTTAAACATTTTTTAAATTTTTTACGCACTTGACTCCGATCGTTCAGTTTGTATGATAGCTTTATGCTATAGTGATCCGATATCGGCGATTCCGACAAATGAGCAGATTCTTGGAGAGAAAAGGATGTAAGCAAAATTTAAAATCGAAATCTCTAAAACTGAGGAACTGATTCGGGTATATACAGACAGAAGGACATAGCTAAATCGACTATACATATCCTAAGTTTACTACTAGGTGTTACAAACTTCGTTGCAAACATAATATATATATTGAGGGTATAAAAAATCAAAGTTATTGTTGCTTTATATCTACAGACGACAATGCTAAGCCAATCAGTGTTTGATTAAGTATAAGCTAGTATAAGCTTAGGAAGCATTCTTTTCATGAAAGCAACTTCTTGTCGAAATTTTAAAGGAACTGTTATCTAGGTAATTAGTGAGAATCATTGAACTTTAAACCAAAAAACAAAACGTAGAAAGGTTTTCAAGTACTTTGCCATTCAGTGCTTTATTCAGCCAAAAATTCTGAAAATCCTGATAATGCGTTACAGTTTCAACTACCTCAAGCACTTTAGTTCGCTGATCGTCTACAAGGTTTATATGGACATATGAATTATAATGATCGAAAGAAAGTCAGATTATGACTACTCTTATTTTGCAAGATCTGAATCTTTTGCAAAAACGAGTAGAAGCCACAAAAGAAATGCTTTGCAACGTAGCTGAGGGGTCCACATTTATCAAACGCATCCTTACTGATGATGAGATGTGAGTTTATGAATACGACGTGGAAAGCGTCGCTCTAAAAATTAACTGAAACCGAAAAAACAGAAATTCGCTGACGGCATTGAAGGCCATCCCAGCCGAATCTTATAACAAGTGTATGAAAAATTGGATAAAGCGTTGACATGCTAAAACATGTTTTGAAGGCGATAATAAAGGGGCCCAAATTTGATCAGATACTATAAACAAGATGAACACAATAAATAGGATCGAGCTTCATCAGACCAAACTTCTACTAAATGTGTAAGCACCTATACTGACTGAGAGTTTTTGCGATAAGAGTAGCCTTGGTTTTGTAGATCGAGTGAAAAGAAATGCATGAAAGCTATTGTCTTCCGAGAATCTGAACAGTGTTAGCCTGAGCAGTGAAACTGGGTGAAAATTAAAAAAATGTCTCTTCATTCTCAGATTAGTTCACAAGTGGTCGGTGAACCCCTTATGCTGAGCGATTTATACTCGAGCGTGTCTTCAAAAGCATAAATTTTTTACTTTTATAGAGTTTTATTTAAACATGTTCCTAAAAATCAACGACTGTATAAAGAATAATCGGAGAAACAGCACAAAAGTAAGTAAACCACTTTCATGGACTGCCATTAGTCAAGCAAAAACAGATCCTTTGCATGACATTAGCCGCAGAAACAAAGATTGTGTGTGTGGTTTACTTAAGCGGTGAAAGAACAGCAGAAAGCGAAAATGCAAGAGCACACAGAAGCGAAGAGAATTAAAAAGTATTAAATAACTAGGGTTTATAGGCAAAATAGTCTGTTGACTGACAACCTGGTGGCGATTGACTTTGTGGCAAGTTGGCGGGCAGCTTTGTTTTCGTACAAAATATTAGCTCATTGTTGCTTAATTCCCTCCGCAGGTGTGGTTGTGAAAAGAAGGAGAAAGTGAGTGCAAAGCAAAGTGTAAAAAAAGGATTTTGTGGTGGTAAACTGGAATTTGAAAGGATTACTCATATTTTGTTAGGTTAGGATTTAATATAATATTTGCGGTGTAGCAACCGCATATGACAAACCTTTGCACAAATTGACATAAATAATTTAACCGTTATGTTAAGTCAAACTGCTTGGTTCGTGTGGTTCGCCCTGTTGTACATACATATGTGTGGTGCAAGGGAATTCGCGGGTATTTCCTGTGTTGAATCAGTGTCCCCTTGAATTATTTGTTTATTTTTTAATAAAAGTATGCATAGAAAAAAGATATGGAAGTCGCAAGTACAGAAGGAAAGGTACTAAAATACTATGTTCAGAACTGTATATACATATATGAAGTTCGAGTTGTTCCGCACGAAGGGACAAATGAAATAATTATCTGCCCGTTTTCCTCAAGGATTTTTTCCCTAAGAGTTAATACGTCAACTTTTATGTGCGAATTGCTAATAAAATTTTAGTCTTAACTTAAAACATCTGGGCTTTTAAGTTGAAAGATTAGATTAATTCTAACTGAAAACAAACTTCAGCTGTCATTTTGAACTATATATCTTCATCCTATAATAGGTATGCGATTCATTAAGTCTAAGCAAAAGCAATATGAACAATAAGTGAAATATGAAAGCTTCTGGATCACTGACTCTTTTTTTCAATAGTTAGAAGTTAAACTAGGTTTTCCAAATATTTTTTTGAAATTGAAGGATGTTCAGTGTTAGAATCTTTCTAAATGTTTTCTGAATATTGAAGTATCAGTAGTTTAATCATTAAAATGTATATAATTATGTATTTGATGGCAAATTGCAAGAATTCATTCATCTTTCACCGTTTTTTTGAACTAGTTCCGAGCCATGTTTTCCTGCTCTCAGACATCAAGGAAGCTGACTTAAAATTGTAATATCGAAAAGACTGAAGACCGTTAGATCGGGTTATTACCTTCGTAATTGAAAAAAATTTCGAATTTATTTGTTACGTACGTACATATATGTATCTATGCTAATCTGTTTATTATTTTTTAACCTGCAATAGTTTTTTCGCGACATTTAGTGTCTAGACCCGCTGGTCGGGACCAGCTCCTATGCGACTGCAATATCCTTTTGCTTACAGCAGATCGCAGAAGATTTTCTGAACTACTTACCCTTAGCAAAATTAATCTTGCCGGGGCTTAAACGTCATTGTCCAATAGGCGTTATGCGGTTAAGCTAAAAACCTTGATGGACGCAAGTTGTATGGAGGAGGGCGAGGTGAAAAACAACCAGACACTTTCGTCTCCATTGTCCAGGCTTTGCAAGGCTGAGATTGAAACATCGCGGTAGTCTTACCTTCCACGAACCAGGTGACTTAGCCGAATCTGATATTAGCCGTCTCAACAAATTTGTGATAGGCCCAAAGCCCTTTCCCGATTTGTAAGGGTATACTATATAGGAGTTTTCAAGTAATACAATGGACTGGCGTTCTAAGCTGTCCAAGTCAAGTCTCTGTTACGATCGACCTCTTAACCTGACCTAAGGGTCTAGACTAGTCTGAAGTCTTCAAAAGGGAGTAAGGAAAAACGAATCGAATTTATCTTTTTCACGCTTAGTTAAACATATATTGGAGAGTATAAAAAATTATGCGAACAATCTTCGTAATAATTTTTTCCCAAAGAGAGAGGTTCGAGAAAAACGCCTTTAGGTTTTTAGGCTGATTAACACGAATGCTTCCTGGCTACAGCGGATTGGACAGAGAAGGGAGCTCGTTTTTCTATTCCACCCTCCCCAATACCCTTCACAAATACAAAAGATTACTTCAGTTTAAATGATAGCTATATGCAATAGTGATTTGATCTGAACAATTTCTTCAGAGATTACATTGTTGCCTTCGAAAATAACCAATACCAAACTCATCAATTAGGATTGAAAATTATTTTCCAATTAATTTTGGCTTATAAAATTTCTTTCGCCATATTAGTGTTATTATCTGTGATTCGTTTTATAATGAATTATTATAATAATGAAAAATTTTTAATCATCAGCTAATTTGCAGCCCTGATATATACGATTTTTAGCTCTAAACAGTACAATAGTGCAATAAAGCACAATTTTTTACATTGAAAATTCGAAAATTATGCCGACCACAAAATATGCCGCACACAATAAAAGTTTGTAGTACAATGTGGCCAATGATTCATATAAATTCTTTGTAATTCATTGGATTTTTCAAGCTGTGATTTTAAAATACAAATTGCTAAGCCTGCTTAGAGCGCATTGGCGCTAAAAGCTTTCATTAAATCGCCAGTGAGCATTTGCTATAAATACGCTCATATTTTTATTCCTTTATTTCAAATTGACATTGTGGCGAAATCATCGCCTGATGTCATCCACCGATTACCATTAATGCTCCTCCACACAGCGCACCGCCGCTATATATGTTCACAGATCAAACACACGAACACATGCACACCTACAAAGCTATCGATTTGGTTGCTCCCACCCCGGCGTATACGCAACCTGACAGCTCAACGCGCGGTAGCTGCTTCTGTGTTTGCTCTTGTTGCTGTTGTTGTTGTTGCTATTGCTAATGTTGAACTGCAACATGTGTTTCATTGCGTTGAGCCACGCTAAGCTTTATTGCAATTTGTTTACGCGCCATGTGTGCGCCCTTTTTTCATTAATTCAAAGCAAATCGCGAATTCTGCGAAAAAATAAATTCATAAAACTGGCATAAACAGGAAAATTCTTTTATATACAAAAGTTTACAAGTTTACATATGTGTGTGCTAATTTTTATTGGAAGTTATCGAGCTGTGCTATATTATTACAGTTACAGTTTTCAACAGTTAAGTACAATACTTAAAATAAAATCAAAATATTTTCGAATTTGTTGCACATGGATGAATAAATAGTTAAGTATA